AGAGATAGAGTTATCCTGACAATTTAGAGTTATCCTTCCATGTTTCTGTTTATTTACAGCAGATATTTTTTTTTAAAAATACAGGGGTGGGTAGGAGAAAAGAGGGGGTGGGGGTGTCTTGTTATCGACCACCCAATATGTTCACATATACCCTATGGGGCGTTCATGTTACATTAGGGTGATGTTCGTGTGCCACGCCTCTTTCACACCATTCAGCATGTTGTGTCCACTCTCGTAGGAAAAATGTTTTAAACACAAAAAAAGATGGGATGTTGTATATAGCAAAAATGAGGAATTCTTATTAAATAGATGTAGTCATATATGTATATATATATATATATATGTATGTATGTATGTATGTATATATATATATGTGTGTGTGTGTGTGTATGTATGTGTGTGTCAAGACAATTTATATAAATATGATATATTAAAAAACATTACATGGTTTACATTTTAAATGTATACATAATATGTGTATTTGAAATGTTTTTTGCAATTGCTTCAATATTTAGTTAGGCTACATTGAACTTAGACTATTTCGTGGTTTAAACGTATGTACTGAAGATCTTCTTCTTCTTCGTTCATAATTTTAGTGTTGGAAGGGATCCCCCTCCAACACAATTAAGGATACTACAAGGCCAGTTGTTTGATTTTGGAGTTGTCTCTCCTAGAAGAGTGGCAGACCCCAGCAAACGAGCCTCATCTGCCCGAGGGTTCGAACTCGAGACTTTTCGGTGTAGCAACCATGAGCTTTACCGAATCGACCACGCCGACCCCTTTATTGAAGATTAATATTTATCATATTTATTTAGTTCATTATCTGGAATACTTGTGTATCAGAAAAAATGTGCTATTTATAATAATTTTAGAAGAGAAAATATAGATCTAGGTTACAGTTACCAGTGTTTCTTCCAAACTTTTTTCTCCGGGGGGGGGGGGGGGCGTTGTTAAAAGAATATATTTTCTATATAAATTCCATTCCGATCGGGGGCGGGGGGGGAAGTGAAGCCCCCCCCCCCCCCCCCCCCAAGAGATGCCTGGAAGAAACCCTGTGCCCAACTTTAGTACAAATAAAATAACATAATACTTACCCTATGGTCTACTCCGTCGTAAACTAGTTTATTTCTTCGCTATAGTTTATTCTATATATATAACTCCAAAGGAACACCATTTCGAAGAAAAAAAAAACAACAACAACAAATCATGTCAAAGACCTGCTGAAATACGCTGTAGATCCATGACGGGGAGAGAAGTAAAGTTGTAGCTCGCTTCCTTCCCCTTGCTTTGCCCGCATCGATTGTCTTCGCGGAGACAGATTGACTGAAAGGGGGCTGCGATCAATCCGGCGGTCACTCCGCAAGCTAGCAGTTGGGATATCAGCGAGAGAGGGGCCGTGTTTTTTATTTTTTAACTGTATCAAACGAGATAGGCTGGGAAGAGTCCACTACAATTAAACATTAAAATTAACAATTGATTTTCTCAATGTAATTAGTTTGAAGTAGTTTCACAATGACGTAATGCAGATTGGGACGGAAAAGGGAGAGTGCATAGAAAAAGTATGAGGGGGGGGGGGGGGTGCAAAACGAAAGATTGAGGGGGGGTGCAAATCGAAATTTTGAGTGGGGGGGGTGCAAATCGAAAGTTTGAAAGTTTGAGGGGGGGGGTGCAAATCGAAAGTTTGTCCCCGGGTAAAAATTGGAACCCCCCCTCCTTGAGACGATCCTGGCTACGCCACTGGGAGAGTGTGTGTAGGGGGGGGGGGCTTCTTTTTTTTGCTACCTGGTGAGAGAAGGTATAGCGTAGAAGTAGAAGCAATGATATATAATTTATAATTTCTCTTTAAATAAACCGGGAGTGATCTCCCCTAAACTTTCTCGAATATTCTAATATAACATTACGTGGGATGGCAACTCGGAATATAGACATGATTTTTGTTTACTTAAACTTTTAAAAATAGAATAAAATCTAGTAGAAAAAAGAATTGCGCACCAAGCGAACGCCAAAACAAAATGTGCATAATAGTGCGCAATATTATTAGTACTTAATAAATTTACATGCTTTTTTTTGAGAAATCGGAAATAGCATAAATTAGTTCTTCCGGTCAATGGAAATCACTCAAAATTTGATAGAAGGTAGAGAATTAGATCTTTTACTTACATGTGAAATTTCATTTATCTATCTGAAATTTACTCAAGTTATAGGCTTTTGAAAAATTCAAAGTAGAAAAAATACCACTTCCGGTTACCGGAAATCGCTCAAATGTTGATGGGGATCTACGATTTTGATAAAATACTTCTATATGAAATTTCATCAACCTAGCTGTAACGGTACTCAAGTAATCGTGTTTACACACAGACAGACAGACAGACACACAGACATACGGACAAGATTGCAAAATTATGTTTTTCCGTATCAGTTAGGTGTAAAACGTCGAGATTTGTAAAAATCTCGATTTTTTTTTTGCACGATTACAATACTTTCTCTATACTTCGTATATACGAGAAAGTAAAAATGTTACAAATTTTAAAGATTGCTATAAAATTGTTTCCTTTAACGGGTTATCAAGTGCTTTTAAAAAAACGAAAAATAATTTGAAATTAATAATTTACCACTACTGTAGTCTTACACGTGGGCCTAAGTTTCTTTTCTACCCTTGGCAATCAGTGTTTCTTCTAGACTTTTTTCTCCGGGGTGGCACTCAGAGGCGTGACGAGGGGGGGGGGGGGGGCGGGGGGGGGGCATATGTCCCCGGGCGCCGACCTTACGGGGGGGGGGGGGCGCCAAATTGAAAGTTTGGGGGGGGGGGGTGCAAATGAAAAGTTCGATGGGGGTGCAAATCGAAAGTTTGTCCCCGGGCGCCGGGAGGGGTCGCTACGCCTCTGGTGGCACTTGATATTTTTGAGGCGGGGGGGGGGGGGGGGGACGGACACTGGTAGAAGTATATGTTTTCTATCTATATAAATTCCATTTCGTTCGGGGGAGGGGGGTGTAGAGGCGGTAGACTTTTTTCGGGCCTGGAAGAGATGCCTGGAAGAAATTCTGTTGGCAATCGGACCATTTTTGATGGCAGATTTCATAATAAAATATAGGCAAACCAAAAGTCAATATCAGTTCATTTTATGCATCTTTCCCCTCCCCCCCCCCCCCCCTGCAATAGGTCCCTCCCTTTTGCCACATTTTGTTTACACATAGGCCTACATTTTAGCCAGCATCCGGTCTTCCTTCCCGCAGAAAATTTTAAGAGCCCCCGCCGCCTCCCTTTCCAAAGAAAAGTGTCGGAAAGAGACCAAACCTTGTTCTGTCTATAACACTATCCCTAACAACAGGCTCACGTTCGACTTTAACCAGTTTAACCCGACACGTGCAGAACGGTTGGTAACTGCCAAACGGAAAAAAACATGAGATGCGCCTAATACTCCCATATATGTCGTTAAACAACATATATGGGAGTATCAACATCACAATTGGCCAGCATCTAGTAGATTTTTAAACTAACTTTTAAATGAACGAGTAATTTTTTTCTTTATATTTTAATTCCAATATAGTATAGAGAATCTTCCAATTAAAAACATGCTGTAAAGTAACATTTTTTTAAAATCGTGTGGTGTTTTAGGTTCGGATAGTAAAACATGTTCCATCAGCTCAGCATGTGCATAACTCTTGGCCAATATTAGTTTTAAGTAGACAATTGTGAATTACGCAAAAAAAAAAAATTTGCTGGGAAGACATGGACCTAAGGCAGGGGTCGGCAACCTTTTGAGACGAAAGAGCCAAAAAATACAATTTACCGAATTTCCCAGTTTTTAAAGAGCCACTAACATTTTTATATCAATATTATGATATTGCTTGAATATGTTGACCCGAAGATCGTCAGCACTCCTAATGCCAACTTCTTCACCTCACTGTAGTATTCTGGGAGACTATTCCATGCGTCACATAATAATGCCTCAACTGGCGGCATTTCTTTTAGAGCAGACCACTTGTGCAGCGATCAGCGAAACGTGCATGTTTTACTAGACTTCCAACTCCACTAACCTGCCCTTGATATCTGTGAACTTACCACTCCAAAAATGTTAGGTTTTCAAATCTAGCAATTTTATTTGAAGCGAACCAGCATTAATTCCAAATAGCTCATAGTTAATATCATTGATTTTGTGTTGAGAGAATCTACTATGAGCGTCAGAATAACTGCATTTGTTTTGAATTGCTCATATCTCTCTGTGATCTCATCCTTCATTTTGTTTATAGTAATGCTAAAGTAATTCATGTTAATAGTTAGATCTAGCGTTGGTTTTATCACGATATTTGTTTTCAGATTTTTCGAAATAAGTAATTTACCGCTCTCTGTGTCTTCAACAAAATGAAGTAGTTATTTTTTCGAAACAAGCCACAACATATCCACCTTGAAGTCGAATGTTTCAATTTGGGATAAAAAAAACTTAATAGAAAGTACATTGAAATAGGAAGTAGATAAATATTCTAATAGAATAGCGAGTGCGTATTGCTTATGTTTATTATTATATCGTTCATTACCGAGTGTTGCAGAACAATATGTTTATGAGTTTTAAAAATAAAATAAAATAATTATTAATACGTGTGCTTGGAGCTGAAGAGCCGCATGCATCTCGACATTAAAAGAGCCGCATGCGGCTCGCGAGCCGCAGATTGCCGACCCCTGACCTAAGGGAAGTCACCCGAAATGATCACACAAGGGATATACATTGTTATGGCCCTTTTCTCCATCGTTAACATTTTAAAATTGTAAACATGTTTTCAATCTCATGAAGATGAGAAATTAAACCGTGTTCACATTATATCCATCCCTTTAGAAACAAGAGACAGTTGCCAACGTTGAATGATAAATTCTGAATGATGTCTATAAGTATGTCACAACTAATTGATCTAGTACAACTTCTTAATGTACATTTTTAAAAAGCATATAATTTAAATATAATGATAAAAAACAAAGACACTTAAAAAATACTAAAATACAAAAATGACCATAACTAAAAACATTTATTCTCAAAACATTTTATACCCAACAGGTTTTCATGATAACTGAAGAAAAAAAAAATGTCATGAATTACGATATGAAATGTGTTATGTACAGGAACAGCAATGGTGAATGAATGAGTGATAACGGTGGTTTAAAAATATGGAATTGTCTAGACAGGGGATCCTTCTTGCTTGTCTCTGACAGCATCCTAAAAAAATAGACAATTGGATGAATGTTATTAAATTAAATAACTTTTATTCAACTTAAGTGTAATAATTATTAAGTAAGATTATTGAAGCTGATGAAGGATACATGTTGCTAAATTTTTAATTAAAATATAAAACAGCGAAGCTAGATTGATGGGAAGGTGAGGTTGAGTGATAGAATGCACAATTATGAAGCCCCAAGTTTCAAGTTCAGTTCATGGGCTCAGGTCAGTATGACACCTAAGACACCTCAGGTCTGATGGGTACATGGGTAAGTAAATGCAGCTGGGCATATGTTGAGATCAGAGAAACAGGTGAGCTCTACTTCATCTGCCCCATGGACTATCTGGTCTGAAAGTTTACATTTTTTCTTTATTCTGGATACATAAACCATCATTCCTTGCATGAGTCGTCATTCCCACAAGCATAAACCATCATTCCCCAGCATAAGCTATCATTCCCTAGTATCAACCATCAATCCCTTAGCACAATCCATCACTTCCTAGCGAAAACAATTTCCCAACTGATTTGATGATCATTTTCTAGACCTGAAGCCATTTGTGAGCATCACTGTGGGCAGAGTTTCTAGTTTCTTCCAGGCATCCCCCCCTCCCCCCGAAAGAAAGTGTACCGCCCCCCGAACAAAATGCATTTTATATAGAAAATATATACTTTTAACAGTGTCCGCCCCCCTCAAAAAAATTTTTTTGTCCGCCCCTCCCCCTCCCCTGAAAATCTCAAGTGTCCCCACGGAGAAAATGTCTGAAAGAAACACTGACTTTGGGTTACATCATGTGAAGAAACAGGATAGCTCCTGATCTCTAAATGACCAACCTTGAAACAATGCACTACAAGATCGTTTCAGTTTTACCTTGAATCTTTCTTCCAAGAGTGAAATTTCAGAGATGAGATCAGTGATGGCATTTGTGATGGCTTCCTGTGGGGTGTAGTCAGGTGTGGTCTGGATCCTCAGGACAAACTTGTGCTCCAAGGGGTGAGGGATCTTGTAGCCAGCAAACAACACTTGGGGGTCTTTTAACAGCTGACTGTAAATACAACCAAATAAATTTATTTCTTTATGGTGTAAAAAGATACAAAATTATAAAACATATTACAAAAGCAATAGCATTTATGTTTAATTATTTGTAAGTGTGCATGTGTTGTATAAAGTATAATTAAGAACAAAAACACATTTATTTATCTTAAGAAAATTTTTTTGACAATGTATAACATGAGATATACCATTGATAAGTACCTACTTAACATTAGAACAGAATGTAAATTGAAAAATAGAAATAAAAAGTTAAAATTAAATTTCAGGTTACAAGCATAGTGATTAAATTTCCATTACATTATTAATAAAAATAATTACCAAGGCAACTGACAACAGAATAAATTATATAATAATTGAAATTTAATTTTTAAGTTACATACGTGGTGATTAAATTTCCAAGAGTGTGGTCTTCTTTGTTGACGGTGAAGATGGCTGCATTGGGGACTTTAGTGTCTTTCTCTATGTAGATTCTAAGAAGAAATGTGTTGTAAGTGAGTGTGAACAGTGATGTTAGTAGTCATAATGTATTATAGTATGCCTTATTAAAATAGTTCCTAGTTTTGCGTAATTATTTTAATAATAGTGATTGTCAATAGTAGGTGTAATTTAAAATCAATTTTAATATGACAAATTAGGCTTAAATGATTGTAGGCCTATTTCAATTATATTTACCAACAAAAGTAGTGTTTATGGAAACTAGTGTCACTTACTACCCTATGTATTAGTATTACTATGTAACCAATAACCTAGGCTCACATCGTATCAGGAATATAGGCCTAACTAAAATCTGACCGCTCTACTACTACTTACTGTCATGTTGATTTTAATTTACAAACAGGGGAACAGGGAAGGGGGGGGTGGGCTACACAACTGGGGACAGTTGAAGAGACCAGTCCAGGACAGAACTGAGAGATGCCTATAAATTTATTTATATAAAAGCTCTTGTCAGCGGCCTAAGTCACTGGACGGACGACAGGCGAACCTAACCTACTAGAATCTAGTAACTAGATTCTAGAATCTAGGCCTAATGACTAATTTACGAATTATTTAGGCCTAGGCCTATTTAATAATTTATTATTATTAGGCCCCTAGGCCCTATTTATTTTATAATTTATTATCGGTAACAGGTCAGTTTATTCAGAATAGAAAAAGATACCAATGTTGTTATGTTGTAGGTTTAGAAGTAAGTCATTATTTTGATAAATTCGACATAATAAATTATTCAATTTAAAAATATCACTTTAATATCAGTAAAAGAATATGTTTTACTTTTTTTCTCCTTCAAACAGAAGAAATGACTCAAAAGTTGATGGAGCATTCATGATGAATTTTTTAACTGCTATTCTACGGTCATGTTTATCGTTTCACAGTTTAAATGAGTAGTCTACTTCAGTTTATTGATAGGAGTGACTTCCCTTATAATTGTTGTCAACATGGCTGATTGGGAAGAGGTCCGGCGACTAGCAGCTGATTTTCAAAAAATCCAGTTATCTACTGCAAAACAAAAGTATTTTTGCTTTTAATAACATATTTCGCTTTAATATTATTGCGCGCATTACTCCTTATTTTTTATTTATTAATTAGAATACATTTAACAGTGTGCAATAGTTGAATATGTTCAGTTCAGTTTCACTCGGCCGATTTCAGTCAGTGACTGAGTCTGTCGGCTCATCACTCACATTAAACTGAATTGTATTGTAATTTAATGTATTATTAATAAAATATTTGTAATAAATCGTTTTAGTTTAGTTTTAGGTCTTAGGTAGGTTTACGTAAAATCAGAAGTCAAAGCCCCTCTTACCTTAAAAAATAAAAGAGGGAGTTGCAGTTCTTTACTCCATCACCCATCCCCATCATGATCTGTCCAGATCATATTAAACTTGACCAAGACTAGGGGTGTATGGCATGGCTACATTTTATTACAATGTATAAAAAAAATCTTTTACATAAGTCATAAGGGTTATGAAAAAAAGGTAAAATTCTATGTAGCCTACAAAATTACCTTTTTATTTAGAAATTCAAGTTTGAGGTTGCTTTTTAAATTTAAACCCTTTGTTGCACATCACAAAGTCTAAGCTCATCCTCCACCATGAGTGTGATGCAACTTCTACCCCATTTTTTGTTTAATTTTGGCTCATGTATGTGCCTTGTATGTATGTGTTACACCAGAAACTTACAGCAATAAAACATTTTTCCCCAATTAGATTGTCTGAACGCAATGTTATAGAACTTGTTACCAAACTTATTGAGCTGCACTTGGTTGATGTTCTGTACACTTCTGATGGAAAGACCTATGTTACACATCAGCAGTTGGTGAAGGAAATTAAAGATGAACTTATTGTTCATGGAGGTAGGGAAACCTTTGACATTTATTTCTAATTCTACTCTACAAATATTATTTTGTGCGTTTAAGAATATTCAGATGGTTGAAACATTGCTCATTATCAATGTCATTGTTGCCTTGGAATGGAATAAATGTCAATCATTTAACTATTGCTTAGAAAAACATGATCAATTGTAACACTTTCAAACCTGATGGTCCATAGGGCAGATGAAGTAGAGTTTACCTGTATCTATGAAGACATAGTGTGATCAGCTGCCTTTACTTTCCCTAATGTCAGTGTCAGGTACCCACTAGAGCTTGGTGGGCTCATGGACATCCTACAGACTTGAGCCTGGGCTGTGAACTCAAAACTATTGGGTTATGAGTCAAGTGCTCTATTGTCCAACCATGCTGTTACATGAAGTTGCACTTTGGTTTACCAGTTGTTGGCATCTTACTGCTTCAAAATTGCATTTGACTCAGTTAGCAAATAATCTGCATTTTAAAAAATTGGATTAGAACTAGTTAATATGAAGACAGCATTTAATAACATTTTTGTTTTAAAATATTTTTTTTTGCAATTTAATATGCTATATCTCAACAAAAATATAAGATTAATGTAAAAAGTGACCCTAAAATTCTTTAATAAAATATTTCTTTCTTTGACCTCTGAACTACTGTTTTAAATTTACTCTGCATTACTATCAGTCTATTAATATGCCTGCAGGAAGAATCAATCTTGTGGATCTTCAACAACTGCTCAATGTGGACTTCAGCCATATTGAGTCTAAGGTCAATGACATGGTCAGGCATGACGGCCACCTCACTTTGGTGCTTGGTCAGCTGATTGATAATTCTTACCGTGAGCATTTGGCTGAAGAGATCAATGACCAGCTTCAAGAAAAGGGTCATGTGACAATAATAGAGCTGACAAAGGCGTATGATTTACCTGCTGATTTTTTGAGAGAGGTGATGTTACTGTTTACATCTCTATATCAGTGTTGATTTTAATACTTAGCAATTTTTTAATAGATTAATATAACTTTTTTTTGTATCTTAAAAGATATAATTAGAAACTAGCATTGACTTCTATCTTTAACTACATTTCAACATCATCTACGTGGTCTTGATAAGTCTAGCTTTCTTCCTTCTTTTTGTTTCATTTTCAAAGTAAATATTTATAATTTTATAATTATAATTAACCTGTGGCCATTTTTTAAATCAGGTAATTGATCAGAACCTGGGAAAGCGCATTAAAGGACAGATAGATAACTACGATAAAGATGTGGTTTTTACTGAGGCTTTTGTTACTCGCATGAAGGCACAGATAAGAGGAGCACTATCTGCAGTCACTCTGTAAGCATCCACCCTCATTATTTTGGGATCTGTACAGTTGTTTTAAATTGATAAATCTGATGCTTAATTTTGATTAGTTTAATTAAACCAATTTTTTTATAAAATAAATTAAGTGATTTATAACAAATAGAGATCACTACTTTTACTGCTTTACTACATGCTATGTTGAGTGCTGCAGAGCCATTAATAATCCATTAAAATCTGTAATTTTCTATACATTTTACAAATTATTAGCTCGTCTTTAGTGTATATTTTATATCTGAAATGTTTTTTCTCTTTCACGTTTGTTAAAGGCCAACAACAATTGGTCCAATTCGACAGGCCATTGGATGCCAGGAGCATCTGTTTCACAGTGAGTCAAAAATTTGGAACATTATTGGTTTCTGTTCTGTTTTTCCTTGTACATGTACATAAAGTTAGTTTTTAAAAAGATAATTTTTCTGATATTCATTTTGACATTATTTTTTATTTTAAAGTTTTAGTGCAAATTTTAAGAAAATAAAATTCTTCCTTTTATTGTTAAAGAAGGGGGCTTTGATGTTTGAGCTGTTTCCAATCAGATTTTTAACTGCTGGTACCAAAGCTGGAAATTAAAAAGTTTGCTCAGTTTTTGTGGGAACCAGAAATTGCATAAAGTAGAAATAGATGATGTGTTGTGGCTTAGGAAATTCAATAAAAATATGGAAAAGTTTTTTTTTAATATTGAAGTTGAATTATTTACATGTAAAGGTAGTGTTTCTTAACTTATCCTTAATCTTAACCATCACACCCACACAGTGTGTTATGCCCAAATAACCCACAAAATGTATACTCTCTACACAAGACAAGCTCTTCATCAGACCAGTTAACCATAGGGATAAAATTTCTCTTAATTTTTTTATTGTGATTGTACTGCTTTATACCACAAGTTTAAACAGATAATTGTAATTAATTCATCAGCCATCCTTGATGAGCTAATCTCCAGTGCTCGGCTGATGGGCAGTTTATCTGGCAGCAGAGTGGACAAGTCTCAGTTCCTTCCAGACATCTACACCAGGGCTCAGAGCGAATGGGTGGATTCCTTCTACAGGCAGAATGGCTACCTAGGTAGATGGTTTACATACAACTGCAATGTGTTAATGCTTAATGCTCTTGAGCTTTCATAAATATTGTTTCTTGCATTCAAGGAATTTTGTTTTTATACAATTTAAGTATTTTCTACTTTCTACATTAATGGAAAAACAAGATACACATAATCTCAATTTTAATAAAAATTAATTTTTTCACATTTAATGCAATTTTATTTTAAATTTAATTTACAATTTAAAATAATAAATTTCATTAATTTTAAGCTTTGGACATAAAATAATATAATAAAATAATATTGCTTAACTTTCCCCATAGAATTTGATGCCATTTCTCGGCTGGGTATATCTGACCCTAAAGGCTATGTGAAGAAGAAGTTCAAGTCAGAGCAGCTGGTCTTCCTGAGCTCATGCTGTGTGGGTCCCGTCATCTCAGAACAAGTTCAGTACACTGTAGACGAGGCACTGAACCAGGGTGTTTGGGTGGACATTATGGTGAGCTGTTGGTTTTATTGTAGTCTCTTCATTATGGTGAGCTGTTGGTTTTATTGTAGTCTCTTCATTATGGTGAGCTGTTGGTTTTATTGTAGTCTCTTCATTATGGTGAGCTGTTGGTTTTATTGTAGTCTCTTCATTATGTGGACATTATAGTGAGCTGTTGGTTTAAGTGTAGTCTCTTCTGTATGTGGACATTATGGTGAGCTGTTGGTTTAGTTTTAGTCTCTTTATTATGTGGACATTATGGTGAGCTGTTGGTTTTATTGTAGTCTCTTCATTGTGTGGACATTATGGTGAGCTGATGGTTTTATTGTAGTCTCTTCATTGTGTGGACATTATGGTGAGCTGATGGTTTTATTGTAGTCTCTTCATTGTGTGGACATTATGGTGAGCTGATGGTTTAAGTATAGTCTCTTCTGTATGTGGACATTATGGTGAGCTGTTGGTGTTATTTTAGTCTCTCCACTTCACTTATGTGGACATTATGGTGAGCTGTTGGTTTTATTGTAGTCTCTTCATTGTGTGGACATTATGGTGAGCTGTTGGTTTTATTGTAGTCTCTTCATTGTGTGGACATTATGGTAAGCTGATGGTTTTATTGTAGTCTCTTCATTGTGTGGACATTATGGTAAGCTGATGGTTTTATTGTAGTCTCTTCATTGTGTGGACATTATGGTAAGCTGTTGGTTTTATTGTAGTCTCTTCATTGTGTGGACATTATGGTGAGCTGTTGGTTTTATTGTAGTCTCTTCATTGTGTGGACATTATGGTAAGCTGATGGTTTTATTGTAGTCTCTTCATTATGTGGACATTATGGTCAGCTGTTGGTGTTATTTTAGTCTCTTTATTGTGTGGACATTATGGTGAGCTGATGGTTTAGTTTTAGTCTCTTCATTGTGTGGACATTATGGTGAGCTGTTGGTTTAATTTTAGTCTCTTTATTGTGTGGACATTATGGTGAGCTGATGGTTTAGTTTTAGTCTCTTCATTGTGTGGACATTATGGTAAGCTGTTGGTTTAGTTTTAGTCTCTTTATTATGTGGACATTATGGTGAGCTGTTGGTTTAGTTTTAGTCTCTTCATTGGGTGGACATTATGGTGAGCTGATGGTTTAGTTGTAGTCTCTTCATTGTGTGGACATTATGGTAAGCTGTTGGTTTAGTTTTAGTCTCTTCATTATGTGGACATTATGGTGAGCTGTTGGTTTTATTGTAGTCTCTTCATTATGTGGACATTATAGTGAGCTGTTGGTTTTATTGTAGTCTCTTTATTATGTGGACATTATGGTGAGCTGTTGGTTTTATTGTAGTCTCTTTATTATGTGGACATTATGGTGAGCTGTTGGTTTTATTGTAGTCTCTTTATTATGTGGACATTATGGTGAGCTGTTGGTTTTATTGTAGTCTCTTCATTATGTGGACATTATGGTGAACTGTTGGTTTTATTGTAGTCTCTTCATTATGTGGACATTATGGTGAGCTGTTGGTTTTATTGTAGTCTCTTCATTATGGTGAGCTGTTGGTTTTATTATAGTCTCTTTATTATGTGGACATTATGGTGAGCTGTTGGTTTTATTGTAGTCTCTTCATTATGGTGAGCTGTTGGTTTAGTTTTAGTCTCTTCATTATGTGGACATTATAGTGAGCTGTTGGTTTTATTGTAGTCTCTTTATTATGAGGACATTATGGTGAGCTGTTGGTTTTATTGTAGTCTCTTTATTATGTGGACATTATGGTGAGCTGTTGGTTTTATTGTAGTCTCTTCATTATGGTGAGCTGTTGGTTTTATTATAGTCTCTTTATTATGTGGACATTATGGTGAGCTGTTGGTTTAAGTGTAGTCTCTTTATTATGTGGACATTATGGTGAGCTGATGGTTTAGTTTTAGTGTCTTCACTTCAATGGAGATTATTGTGAGCTGTTGGTTTAATTTTAGTCTGTAGTTTATGATACCACTTGGATGGACCTTATGTTGAGCTGTTTTAGTCTCTCTTTTATACAGCCATGTTTTGCTTCATTGTTTACTTTCCACTTTATATCAAGAGTTTTTCCTTGTCTTTCAGACTGTGCTTCCCTCTGTTCTGAGCCGAAAAGATGCCTCCGAGCTGCTGTCAAACTGTTTAAAGACACGCCCCAATGCCATTGTCTGTGATTCGACCATAGTGGCCAGTGATAAATTAATATCTAACAGCCTTCCTGTTTTCACTGATTTGATGAATGAAAAAGCAGAAAGGGTAACTGTTCATTTTCATTTTGATGGATAAAATAAGCTGTCATTAAAATTATTTTAAAATGTTCATGTTTAAACAGTTAAAATTTACAGAGCTGATTCTCTGGTTTAAATATTTGCGTAATTGTGAAAATGCCACAATAAAAATAAATAATGCTAGAGTGTCTTGTTTTAATCTTACGGGACTAATAAACAAGTCTAATTTTAAAAATCAGCAAAATTAAAAAGTGTTTTTTTTTCCCCAACTTTTTAATAAACCAGGAGTGATCTCCCCTAAACTTTCTCGAATATTCTAATATAACACTACGGGGGATGCAACTCGGGATATAGACTTCTAGACATGATTTTTAATCCATTTTAAATACTCAAACTTTTTAAAATAGAATATAATCTCGTAGAAAAAAGAATTGCACACCAAGTGAACGCTAAATAAAGATGTGCATAATAGTGCGCAATATTATTCGTACTTTATAAATTTACATGCGTTTTTTGAGAAATCGGAAATAGCGTAAATTAGTACTTCCGGTCAACGGAAATTACTCAAAATTTGACAGAAGGTAGAGAATTAGATCTTTTACTTAAATATCAAACTTCATTTATCTATCTGAAATAGTACTCAAGTTATAGGCTTTTGAAAAATTCAAAGTAGAAAAAGTACCACTTCTGGTTATCGGAAATCGCTCAAAAGTTGATACGGATCTACAATTTTGATAAAATACTTATATATGAAATTTCATCAACCTAGGTGTAACTGTACTCTAGTTATCGTGTCTACACACACACAGACACACACACAGACATACGGACAAGATTGCAAAATTGTTTTTCCGTATCAGTGAGGTGTAAAACGTCGAGATTTGTAAAAATCTCGATTTTTTTTTTGCACTATTACAAGACTTTCTCTATACTTCGTATATACGAGAAAGTAAAAAAAATAGATCAATTTATATGATTTTAAGTCTTCCCTCCCCCCTCACTGGTGTTAGATTCTTTATTTTCTTCTATCTTCCAGGCATCCATTATCAACATTCCCCTCCCCCCCCCCCTCCCCACCCCAGCATCACATATCCTATAAAACATTAAATATTCTTTCTTCCAGGCATCCAACATATCACCTCCCTCCCCTCCACCCCAGCATCACATATCCTATAAAACCTACAGAATATTCTACCTTCCAGGCATCAAAGTCCCACCCTGCAGTCTTATCAAATGAGACAGCACCCAGCCTCACATATCCTATAGAATACTCTATCTTCCAGGCATCCAAGTCCCACCCCGCAGTCTTATCAAATGACACACCATCCAGTCAAGAAGACAACAAACACAGCAAGTTATCTGGTGTGGATGACGGGAGCTCCGCCAGAGAGGATAAAAAAGAACAAAGGCGTAAAAAGGCTGCAGGTTACTGATAGTTTCATATCTTTTGTTTTGTGGGTGGTTAGGGTCTTGGGTTGTCCTTTCTTTTTTTGGGTATTTAATGTTGCAGCATAACTGACTTTCAGACTAATTTAGTTAATTAAAGTCATAAAGTAAGCAATAAAAATTATTAAATCTTTAGAAATTGTTTATCATTTTATCAAATCTGTAATCAAGGGTGCTGGTAACATCGCAGCAAACAATGTTTCTCATTCTTCCAGATTTAGTTCTATTTCTCTGCAACTTTTTAATTTTTTAAAACTCATTTTTTAAAATAAACACATCTTGTTCATTGTTTTGAGTGCATGATAATTTAAATTAACCAATTTTTATATTTTTGTAAAACTCATTTAAAAAAATAAATAAATAACATTGTTTATTGTTTAGAGTGCATGGTACTTTAAGTTATTATATAATTTATTATAATTTATAGTTGCTGGCACCACCAAGAAAGAAGGCACTGGGGGTCGAGAGGTCAAGACCAAATCTACCAAGAAGAAAGGTCGAGGCAGGGAGGTGGATGAAGGGTCAGATGAAGAGGCAGCAGCACCCAGCAAGGGGAAGCAAGCTAGTGACGGCAAGCAGGAGTTGCGGTTCATGAGTGTTAATGAAATAGAAGAGGTGTGTTGGGTATAATTTTCAGTGTTGTAAAACTGATCTTTCCATATTTTTCACTTTTTTTTAAACATGGTATAGAATTTTTCACATGTTTTTTTGTTATAGATATTTATGTTAGTATTTCTTAATTTGTTTTGTATATAAGCTTTTTGATAACTGTTCAATAATTTGGTATAGCGTAAAAATTAAAAAAAAAAAATATAGTTTAAAGCATGGAAATCTTTATAGATAAAGAATTTTGTTGTTGTTTTTTTACTTTTTGCTGATTTTCAAATTTTCCTATTTTCCAGGTCTTAAAAAAACAGCAGAATTTGAAAGAATGTCCTAAAGAGCTACTGTCTGAAATAGCTGTAAAATTACATAGGTAAGTGCTATTAAAGCTGTAAAATTATGTATGCACTGCTTAGCTATATAATAACATATGTAATTACTATTTAAAATTATTTATTTAATTTACTGAGTTTATTAGCATTAACACAATTAAATAAATGAAGAAATAAACACACAAAAATTCGATCACCATGATAATAAAGAGAAACATAAATATTTTTAAAAAAAAATGGATAGCTGACATTTATGAGCTTGTCTTAGCCCTGCCTGTATAAAAGATATAAATATCATGTATTGCTGTATTATTTTTACTATTGTATAGCTTGTTGACACTTTAGACTAAAAAGTCTATTGCTACATTTATTTTCCCTTAATTTTTTTCTTCCTTACGTTTATATGTTAAAACATCTAATAAACAAAACGGCATGAATACAGTGCCAAATTTGGCCAAGTAATGTAAAATATGTATACATTATTTTATTTCTTACTTATGTGACAGACCACTGACACGGCAGTACCAGGAAGTGGCCAAATCAATTTTCATGAAAACTTCAGGACCAGACAGAAAAAAAACAGCAGCAGAGATTCAGGATAAAGTTAACATCATGTGGATCAATGCTCGCCTCTTTGAGAAGGGAGCTAAACTTTTTGAAGGTTTGCAAGTAGCTTCCCTTTGTGACTCTCTGTTTTCCTCTTAAGTTTTCTGATGGAAGGGTAGGGTGACCAATATTCAGAATTGTTTAAAATCATCTTTCATTATGGAGGCGCAGGGGGGCATGTGCCTCACTTTGCACCTGTTCTTTTAAAGCTAGTACAAGAAAGTATACTCTCCACCATGTTTTTGTTTTCTGCTTTTAAAATTGCTAATTTTACTAACCATTCCACAATATTTTATCCATATTTGTTAGTTTTTCTTCTGGACAGATGAGGCTTGTTATCTGGGGGACATTAACCTATCTAGGAGAGAAATCTCCAAAATCAAACAACTGCTGTCTCGTAGTTTGTTTTTGGTTGGACAAAGACTATGGAAGCAGATCCAGCTAGAAAAGCAGGCTCAAATGATAGTAGTCAACAGGCCATATGGCACATAACAAGTTAAAATGTGTTGGAAGAAATCCCGTCCGAGATTACATTTAAAAAGAATATATAATGGTCATATTATTTTAAAAAGCTCACTATATTCTATGATAATATTTCTGAATTGATCAGATTTTTATATAGAGACTTAATTAATCAGACTTGGTTTTTAAGAAAGAAATCTTCTCCCCTCAGACCCCGTCCAAACCAACGTGGTCAAGCACTTGTTGAAGACTGTCTGCTCTGATTTGACCAACACAGTGGTGCTAGCTCTGGCCAGTGACAACATGGTCAGGGTGTCCAGCTCGAATGATGACCAGCTGACACCTGAGGTCAGTCCATTCAATCACTTCCTGGTTTAGTTGCAGACCTATGTAATGTATTTAAATAAGGTTAAAATAAACCCCTCAATTTGGACTTAATAAACCCCTATGTTATACCATTCAGACAAGGTATTACCCCCTCCATCCCCCCCACTTTTCTATACCTTTAAGACATTTTAAGCCTCTTATTTGTGTGGTTCAGCATGGTCAGGAGGGAAAGCACTCCATAGTGGCTAGGGACAGCAACCCATCTAGTAGAGAAAACACCAAAATCAAACAGGAGTAGAGCCCCTTAAGTGATAAGATTACCAACTTTATTTCCTTTTGGACACTGCTGATGCCACGCTGTACAGATAACTTCCTGTCCCTTGTGTCCATCAGCTGTGTGAAGTGAGGGGGCTGATGCATAGGCAACATCTGGCTCTTTACCTGTCCAGTCATTGCGCCTTGATTTCCTAGACACAATTATTCATTAGTCTATCAGATTTTGGAGTCATTAAGTTCGTTTTGAGCCTCTACTTCATAGCCCTCAGACAAGACATAAATAAGCTTCGACTTTTCTATCCCTCCCAGGCAAGGCTTAGAGTGATCAGCACACTACCAAAAGAGTCGCAGGAACCCCTGACAAAGCTCCACAACTCACTCAACGGTCAGAGCCTGGACGACTTCTTTCACCAGCTGGAGTTGCTGTGTGGTCCGGCACATTTGGGCATTCTGCTGAAGAAACCAGACAAAAGAAAAGAAAGGTACCGGTGTCATCTATATATATATATATATCTCTACATGGGGACCATGCAAGACACCACCACCACGTTCGCACGCCATGCTGCCCCCTTCCTCGATCTCTAAATATATCGCTACCACCCCCACCTGTAAGGTGAGCTGTAACTCAAGCCAAATGTTTACAATCGTAGCGCCGGGTCGAATTAGTGACGGATATTAGTTTTTAAACTATTTGAAAGTAAGGGGAGGTAATAACAAGTTCTGCTTGAGCTTTCCTTTCATTGTCATCTGTCGTCACGGATGGCTGCTTTCAGTGGGGGGGGGGGGGAGAGGAGGATAATCGTCCTTCACGAGCTACTGACTGTGTTTTAAAGCAAAATATTTTCAGTCGCTGCATTGGTAGTGTTGAATTCACAAATTATGAGTTACTGAAAAGTAGAAAATAAAACAACTAAATAGTGGTGTATGCTACGTCGTGAGTTGGCTCCTTGGATTTATATTTCAACAAGAAAATTGTGTTTTAAATGAATTGTATATTTAATGTGAAATGTGTATTTTTACTAGTTTTACTTTGAAATTAGTATTTTAACTAAAAAGTTATTTAAAAAATAGAATTTTAATTAAAAATAATAGTATTTCAACTAGATATTGGTATTTTACTAGAAATTAGTAATTTAACCTAAAATTTGTAATTTTACTAAAAATTAGTATTTTAATTAGAAATTAGTATTTTAATAACATAAAAAATTAGTATTTGAACTAGAAGTTAAATTTCAACCAGAAATTTATATATTCATAATTTGTGTAATTTGACTGCAGTACAGTGATAAGAATTGTGTATTTGAATACTTGACATTTGACTCACAGGCAGCTGGTGTTCAACCATCGCACCAGCCTGAGTGAGCAGCTAAAAGCTGAGACTGACCCAGCCATGAGCCTGCACCTGGCCGCTGTCCTCCTGTTCCAGACCATGACCCAGTGCATGCTCCACGTCCCAGGTCGCATGGTGCCCAGCGTCATCCAGTACCTGATCTCTCACCTGGAGGCTGAGAAAATGGCTGTGTTGACTCACTTTCAAGGTAAGTCTGGCTAAACTTAACTGGCTGTGTTACATGGCTTAAGTGACTAAAGTCTAGCTAACTTTAACTGTGTTGAATCACAAACTGTAACTGCAACCTTACTTTAAGTTTATTAACCTCTAATCTTTAGTCAGTGTTATCTGAACCTAATGTAAATGTGCACATGTGGCTTAGACGTGTTGAAAAGCTGTTCATGTTCGGCACTGAAATTATTTACATTTTCTAGGCATTGGGTACACTTGAGGTCTTGTTGCCTGAACCTTATGTTTACTTCATGTTCCCTGAACTTTGTATACATTTTACTTATGTACCCTGGACCTTGATTATGTTTAGTCCATGTTACCTTGACCTAATTTATATTTTGTTAATGTTTTCTTGACCTAATTTATTCTCATGTATGTTCCCCAGACCTAATTGTGAAACAAGTGAAATTGAAGACAGAACCAGACAACGAGCAGATTGTAGAAGTGGCCAAAGAGTTGTCCTCCTTGTTGGACTCTGTCAAAGACATTGCCCTCAACACCAAGAGACAACATGCAACAGGGGATGAGTAGATGATGGTCATTGGTTTGATGGACATTTGTGAGCTGGGAACCTATGATGGACATTAGTGAGCTGGGAACCTATGATGGTCATTTGTGAGCTGGGAACCTATGATGGTCATTTGTGAGCTGGGAACCTATGATGGACATTTGTGAGCTGGGAACCTATGATGGACATATGGATGACGGCCGATTGGGTTGATGAATATTTGGATGATGGTCATTGGTTGGATGGACATTTGTGAACTGGGAACCTATGATGGACATTTGTGAACTGGGAACCTATGATGGACATTTGTGAACTGGGAACCTATGATGGACATATGGATGACGGCCAATTGGGTTGATGGACATTTGTGAACTGGGAACCTATGATGGACATTTGTAAGCTGGGAGCCTATGATGGACATATGGATGACGGCCAATTGAGTTGATGAATATTTGGATGATGATCATTGGTTTGATGGACATTTGTATACTGGGAACCTGTATGATGGACATTAGGTTTGATGGACATTTGTATACTGGGAACCTGGAATATGGACATTAGGTTTGATGGACATTTGTATACTGGGAACCTGGAATATGGACATTTGGGTGATGGTCGTTGGGGGTGATGGATATTTGGATGAACATTTTGGCTCTCGGACATTTTAATGTTTGATACTAGAGGATTGTGCGTTCTCAAAAAGTGATGTACTGGCTGCTAGTAGAAGATGTTGTAATTATTAAACAATTGTTTTTTTTTTTACTGGGTGATAAGGTTTATTCTAGGGCTTGAGATTATACGACTGTATGGGTGTAAGAGTGAGCATTTTAAATTTATAAGGAATATTAGGTGCGTAAGATTCCACTTCAGATTTTTAAAAGCTTTTTAGGTCTGTCAGATATAAATTTTCAGGTGTAAATCTGGATATATTATGTGGCTTTACATTTGTAAAGCTGAATTTATGGTGTTGTTTTACATGTGAACCTGAATATAATATTTGGTTTTATGTGTATTGTTCTGTTGTTTGAGAAAGAAAAATTTTAAAACTTTGTCTGAATCTTTACTGAAGTGCCTGTCTGATTTATGTGGTCCAGATTATAATTCATTAAAAGAAACAAATGTGATTGAACTATTCCTAATAATCTAATGTTAATGCTTAATTCTGTTTTATTTTTTTCTCATGTTAAAATTTCATGTTTCTTATTTGTTTGTTCTATGAAGTACACTTAAAGATTCCCAGCATTTATTATTTACTACTGATGACTTATGTAATGTATGAATCCTTTTATGAGTAATTGTCACAAAAGGGACTTTCATTGGTGGAATAAGAAACTTTGCACCAATAGCTGTTTTGAACTAGAGTTACCAAAATTTTCATTACTTCAAAACTAATCCACATAATATTATTTGTGCATATAACACAATAGTTTATAATTTAATATTTTGTGTAGGAAGTATTAAGTTAAAAATGTCTAAAGTAGGTCTGTATTTATTTTATTTCATTTTGTGTCAGAAATTTCTTCAAGAGAATATCAAGACAATTCTTCGAGAGAGTATTTCAACAGTCAAATGTTTTTGACATTTAAGGATAATTTATCCTTAGTTATTTTACAGCTAGGAAAACCTTTTTTTTTTTTTTGCTGAAGTCATTTTAAACATAACATCATATTTATTTAAGATAGATTATTTATTTATTTAAGATAACTTTTAATACCTTTGACTTGTGAATATGTCCTGTCAATAAATTATTTTAAGAACATTTATTTTAAAATTGCTGTCTACAATATTTTTTTTTTACATAACTTATGCATATTTTTCTTGATACAGCACACAGAATTTCAGTTTAATTTTTTTTAGCTACAAACAAAAATAACAGTTTTAATCAATTCATTTTACACCAAAAAGTCACCTGTTATTTTTAACAAATCTGTTTTACATTTTACCCTTTTTTAAAAAGTAAAAGTTAAAATAAAAATATTTATAAGTAAAGTTTTATTATACTTCCTTCAATTGTCACAATGGGCTGATGCAAACAAAATAAAAAAAGTTAAACTGAAAACGTTTCCTTAAAGCTCTTGAGCTCATAACATTTTCAAACTACCTTAAAAATTGGATTGAAAAGCATTTTTTAAAAATCCTAACCATTCACATTTTTTTATAAAAACATCAAGGCCTAATAACAAGCTTTTTTATTTGCATAAAAAGAAGAAAAGAAAATAACTTGCCAGGGCGAAGACTGGCCGGGACGGCAGGTTTTTATACTTTAGAAACAATTTTACTTAAAATACGCACCATGCGTAACAATCATGTGTTATCTAGTGAAACAGGAAATAGTTGTAAACACAGATCTGTTACTAAAAATAACTAGTTGTTACTTCCGGTGTTACTTCCATTGTGAGCAGGGTAACGTTTTATTTTCATCAGCCCAAGAAAGGTGCCAAACATGCCCCGTGGAGGAGGAGGCATGCGTGGAGGAGGCATACGTGGCGGAGGGGGTGGAATGAGGAGCGGCGGGTATTTATATTTTCTGATACTAGGTGACAGATTAAGGGAGAGGCTGGCCATAAGCTAGCCTGGGACCCTCAATGTAGGGTTGCTTTCAAACATTTTACTCATGGGGACAGCTTTTTAACTTCCAGAAGAGGGGGCGTGTCAATAGGTAGGAAAAGTCTACGTAATCATACTAAATGTTTGATCAAATCTTTTTAAAAATAGGGCAAACGATAAAATTATAGTTACATTTGTAAAAATTAAAGCTGTTTGGGAACCATCAATTAAACTCATTTTATAGTTTTCTATCGAATATAAGCTATTGAAAAGTCGTTTAGAATTATTTTATCAATTCATTTATTTTCAAAAACTGCCCTCAACCTCTCCTTGAAGTCAACAGAATGGCCAGGGAGAGTAAAACGATAAAAGTCAGAAACAATTGTTCTCCGTGATAAAAATACACAATAGTGATCTATGGTGTATACCATAGTATTGTATTTATATTAAATAATATAACATCCCCAATCACCACAACACCCTGAATCTACTAATCCAAATTAAAAATAAAAGTGTTTACTAAATTACTACTATATTATTAGCAATTATTTCTTTGACTATTTCTAGCTTAATGAAACCGGAAGTAATTTTGTACTTATTACACAAATGTTTAAAAATATGTAATACTTTTGACGTTTCTGTGAATATGTCCTGTCAATAAATTATTTTAAGAACATTTCTTTTAAAATTGCCGTCTACGATATTTTCTTTACATAACTTATACATATTTCTATATATAGAACGCAGAATTTCAGTTTAATTTATTTTTAGCTACTTAACATTCATTCAAACAAAAGTAACAGTTTTAATCAATTCATCAATCAGCAAAAATTCACCGGTTACTGTAAACATATCTGTTTTACATTAAAATAAAAATATTTATAAGTGAAGTTTTATTATACTTCCTTCAAAAAATTAAACTGAAAACGTTTCCTTAAGAGCTCATAACATATTTAAACTACCTTAGACATTGGATTGAAAAGCATTTTTTAAATCCTAACCATGTACATTTCTTTAAAAAAAAGCATTAAGGCCTAAAAACAAGCTTTTTTATATGCACTAAAAAGAAGAAAATAAAATAGCATGCCAGGGCGAAACCTGGCCGGGACGGCGAGTTTTTATATTATAGAAACATTTTTACTTCAAATACGCACCACGCGTAGCATTCATGTGTTAGTGAGTGAAACAGGAAATAGTTGTAAACACCGATCTGTTACTAAAAATAACTAGTTGTTACTTCCGGTGTGACTTCCATCGTGAGCAGGGTAACGTTTTATTTTCATCAGCCAAAGAAAGGTGCCAATCATGCCCCGTTTAGCAGGCAGACGTGGAGGAGGGGGTGGAATGAGGAGCGGCGGGTATTTATATTTTCTGATACTAGGTGACAGATTAAGGTAGAGGCTGGCCATAAGCTAGTCTGGGACCCTCAATGTTGGGTTGCTTTCAAACATTTCACTCCTAGGGAGGGGGCTGCATGCCAATCATACTACGAATAGTTAAACAAATATTCTTTCTACTTTAATTAAATATTTTATTTATTTCGTCGTGGTAGAGGGGAGAGGGTTGCACTGAAAGAAACACTTGCTATCGACCGGGCGAGTTCCGAGCAACACGATCTTTGCTGCTAATATGCAGGAAATAGGCCTACGTGATTACGTGGTTTGTACGTTTTCTTTCTAGAAATGGTACCCATCAGAGCTGGATGGAATCAGGGTCGTCGGCAGGGGGGGGGGTAGGGGGGGGTCATAATCCCCCCAATAGACCCCTCGGTGTATATAAAGTATGAGGGGGGTGCAAATCGAAAGTTTGAGGGGGGGGGGGGTGCAAATCGAAAGTTCGTCCCCGGGTAAAAATTGGAACCCCCCCGTCCCCCCTTAGGACGATCCTGGCTACGCCACTTGTTGGAATCAGGGTCGTCCTACTGACTAGAGCCTGGGATCCGAACTCGAGACTATCCGGTTAGCAGTCGTGTGCTATACCATCTGTGCGAGATACCGTTCTGTACGTGTTATCAGTGACAGTCCTCGCTGTTCATACATACTACCAATTAAATATGTTTCTGTTGAT